ATTCCCATCTAAAGTAACAGAGGTGGAGGGAGCCTCCCAGGGGGGGATGTGGTCTCCTGGTTCTTCCCTCGGCCGGTCTGTCTGGAAGCAGTGGGTGCCCCGTCCTCGCTGGAACCTTACGCCTCGTCCAAGGCTGTAGATCCCGGTCGGTCGGTCGGTGAGGACGAAGCTCCTCTTCTGTGAGGGGGAGAAGGGCTGTGGTGAAAGGGGAGGGGCAGGGAACCCACTGGGAAGTGCCCCCTGGTGCCCGCGGGGACCCTGCTGTGGGGTCTCCCTCCTTTGAGCTGAGGTGGGAGGCTGGCAGCCTGCGGGTCGCTGCCCATCATGCATCTGTGCTGGAACCCCCGAGGGCCAATCTGGGAGGACCCCAGCGTTTCAGGGGTGGTTGGCCGTCTGCTGTGCTTCCGAGGGACTCGGGAGGTCTCTTCCCCTGAGCAGCTGGTCCCTGGCGCCTCCCTTCTGAGCTCCTTCCATGGCGGAAACTCTCGGCCTTGCCTGTCTGTCTCCCTCTTACTCCTTCCTGCTCCCTGACTCTGTGTCTGCAGAGACTCCCTCCATCTCCCTCCACAATCCAGTGGGCGCCCCTAGGACTGAAATGCCTGCGGGAGAAGCGGAAGGCTGCCAGGAGAAGGACTGTCCAGCCAACCTCTGAGCCGGGCCCTGAGCGCCTCTCAGAGCGCTTACTGACAGGGGCTGCCACTGGGAACCCCCTCTGCCCCGGGACGGGCATGTGTGGCCTGCAGCTCAGGAGTGTCGCTCTCAAGGACCTGGGTGCCGTCCTGTCCTTTGAAATGTTGTTGTCTGCCCTGGTCCTATGGCTCCGTTCTCAGGCATCATCCTGCGCACCAGGAGGTCGCCAGTTCAGTTCCTGGTCAGGCTCACACGCGGGTTGCGGGCTTGACCCTGCAGGGCTGTGAGCAGGAGGCAGCCCATCGATGTGCTCTCACATGGATGCTTCTCTCTTCTCTCCCTCTCCCTCTCCCTCCCTTTCTCTCTCAAAATCAATAAACTATTCTTAACAGAAAATATATAGAGAGAAATGCAGTGTCAGGAGGGCTGGGCCTCTGCCTCCTCTCCCGTGGGAGTCTGGGAGCCTGGCTTCCATCCGTCCAGCTGGCTGACACCGGGCCCAGCCGCACTGATGCTCACCGGCCCTTTTTAAACTTTCATTTCATGGATTCCTGAGCCCTAACATGTCCCCCTCCGTTGCGCACCCTTTAAAACACCCGTCAGCTCTGTGCCAGTCAGAGTGGAGCTGAGGAAAGTCTGTTTATCGCCGACACGTGGGAGCGAGTCTGAGTGTCTCTGAATGAAGTGGGCGGTGCGGCTTTTCCTTCCCCAGCCGCTCACGTGGCGCCAAGTCACGATCTTCCACAGGAACCTGCTGTGTGCTCTGTTTTGAGCATTTTTCCTTTCGGCGGAGGAGGCTTAGGAGGGCTTGTTAGGACACCAGGCGTCCTGGTCCCTGTCACTGGGCGTGGGGTGGCTTTGGGGAGTTCTTTCCACGGTCCCCCCTCAGTCTTCCCCTCTGTACAGTGGGCATCTAACACGGGTATCAGTAGGGTCTGGGGCAGATGGAGACAATTGAGAGCCTGGGAAGTCCCGCCCAGTGTTGACGCCTGGAAAGCAGCTGCTCCCGGGGTCTTTGCCCGCTTCCCCAGCACAGCGTTGCGGGCAGGGGTGGCTCACACGGCGTTGCCGAGTGCACGACCCTCAGGGACCATCCTGACGTCTCCACCGCCTCATCCCTGCTGTCCGAGTGTCCGCTTCCTTGTCCAGAACCCTCCCCGGTCAGCGCAGAAGCAGGTGATCTCGCTCCATGAGCCGCTGCCCAGTCACGACATGGGATCAGCAGCTCCTCCCCCAGCGCCCACGCTGTGCCTGGGCCGGGCTCAGCTCCTGGGCCGCCCAGAACCATCCCGGCCCAGCCCTGGGTCCTGAGAGCTCACAGGGGGTTTCCCCAACTCTGCACTGGCTTCAGGCTCCCAGTGGCCAGCCCTAACCTAGACCTTGTGGGCACTGCCTGTGTCCTTCCCACGGCACCCCCTGCGGCTCTCTGAGCCTTTCAGCACCTACAGGGCCGCTGTCTCCCTCACACCCACAGCTCCTTCCCCCACCCGTTCTCTCCCTGCCTTTTCTCCGCTCTCCTGGTGGCCTGTTGCCCTGCAAACACCCGCTCCTTCTGTGGTTCCGTTGAAGGGGACACAGGTCTCTTTGAGTGAACGTGAATGTGTTGAGTAAACATGGCCCGGTCCCTGACCTGCAGTGTAACGCCCATGTCTTGTGTTACAGGTCACTGACGCAATCCTGAAAGGTGGCATGTTTACAGGCGTCCTCAGCATGGGCTTGGCTATGATCGCCGGGGCCCTCATGACGGTCCAGCGGAACTGAGGTGAGCAGGAGAAGTATTGAGGCCAAGGAATCATCTTAGTGGCAACCAGTTAGTATGGAGAAGACTTGCATTTCCAGCGGGGCTGGGGTTTCCTATTGATTTCACTGTTTTATACTCATTTAGGCTAAGTTTTTTAAAAAATATGTTTTTATTGACTTTTATTTATTTTTATTTATTTTTTAGAAACAGAGGAAGGGGCAGGGAATAGAGGGAAACATCGATGGGAGAAATTCATCAGTGGCCGCCTCCTGCACGCTTCCTACTGGGGATCAAGCCTCCGGGAATTGAACCCGAGACACCTTGGTTCATGGATCAACACTCAAGACACACCAGCCAGGCCATTCAGGCTGCTTTCAATGGAGCTACAAAAGCACAGGAAGATTTAAATGGGGAAATACGGCTGGTGTGAATGCTATTAAAGACACAGTTGGGCTCTGTCTTGCACTGAATGTGTGTGTTCCCCCCCACACCCCTATTCACGTTGCAGCCCTAACCCCCAATGTGCTGGTGTTCGGAGCTGGGCCTCGGGGAGGTCGTGAGGCGCAGAGGAGGTCATGGGGTGGTGGCGAGGGTGCGGGAGGGCATGATGGGATTGGCGCCCTTACAAGGCAGACCAGAGCCCTCTCTCCTCCATGTGAGGACAGAGCGAGAAGGTGGCCATTTGCAAGCCAGGAAGAGGTTCCGCCAGGAGCTGCATCTGCCAGCACCTTCGCCTTGAACTTGTCCGCTTCCAGGACGGTGAGAACTGAATGTCTGTGCTGAGCCCCAGCCGGGGGTGCGGCCATGGCAGCCGGGCTCAGTGACGGGCTCTTCCCCAGCCGCCTGAGTGCGTCCCGGCCATTCTCTGCTTTTCCCAGGTTTCCTCTCGGAGGGCGGGGACGGGTGCGGGCGGGAGACACACCTGTGAGGGCCAGAGCAGGACCCATTGGCCCGCCGGGGCCGGGCTCAGCGGCTGGGACTGTGTTGGATTCTCGGCCATGAATGTGACGCAGCCCCCGTGGCCGAGGCTCCGCTCCTCCTGCCGCGCTCTCCTCCTCCTGGTTCCGGAGCAGTTAGTGTCGTCCTCTCCCCGGCGGCGCTGGGCCCCTGGCTCCTCGCTCCACGGCCTTTCTTTCCGCATCAGCTCAGCGGCCTCTCTCCTCAGTGCCCGCAGCTCCTGGGTTCCTGCTCCAGCTCCCGAGAGAGAATCTCATTGGCTCAGCTTACTCCTAGCTCAGCCTCCTGATTGGCTGCTGCGGGGTCAGGTGAGCACACTGAGCCAATCAGTTCTGGTGATGGGGCCAGTCACATGGTTTACACCTGACCCTGGAGGCAGAGGCAGCTTCACTTGGAGGGGACTGTGGGTGAACCAAACTCCATGGTTCCGAACGCCTGGTCCAGGGGCACCCAGGGGAGGGGGCGGAGCTGGCACCACCCTGGGGTCCCTCCAGAGCTGCTGGGAGCCTGGGGCTGGTCCCAGGGGAGATTTCCTGCCTAGAATTAGAGCCCGGAGCTCACGTCTCCCATTAGACCCGAGTCCCGGATTCCCCGCCTCCCACGGCGATGGGGGAGCTTTAGACCCGGAAGCGAGAAGCCTTCTCCCGTCCCACCCGCTGGGTACTGGGCTCACAGAGCAGCTGTGCCCTCTGACCCAGAGGCAGCCTGGGAGCGAGGCCAGCATGGACCCTCCCGGACCCGCACGGAGGCGGACATTCCCCCTGGGGGTCTGAGCAGGGCCCTGCTGGGCAGCAAGTACAAGTCCTTCTCCTCCTTCTTCAACCTTCTGAAGCCCGAGCTCCGTCCCCGCCTGGAGTCTGTGCACCGAGGGCATCGGGGCCCCAGCTTTCTCCTGCCGGGAAGGCGCAGCCCAGGGGAGGGGGCGCCCCAGGTCTCCAGTCAGAGCGTCAGGGGCTGTGCTGCCACCACGGAGAGTGGCCATTCAGTGGGGCCACTGGTGGCAGAGGCCAGGCGAGGAAGAGGAGAGCAGGGACCCGCCCCTTTAGAGACCACGCCCAGGGCACACTAGGTGCTAGCGGAGGGATACGCTGTGGAGGTTATGTTTTATAAAAGACTTAATTTTGTTTTTAGAGAAATTTTAGGTTTATAGAGAAATGGAGAGGAAGGTACAGAGATTTCCCATATGCCCCCCCCCCCACTCACACAGAGCCTCCCCCATTATCAGCATCCCTGTCCATAGCGTGTATTTTTGTTATAACGGATGAACCTACATCGGCACATCGTAATAACCCACAGACCTTAGTTTAGCCCAAGATTCGCTCTTGGTGTGGTGCATTCTATGAATCTGGACACGTTATAATGACACGTATCCATCCTTACAGTGTCACACTGTTAGGAGTCTCACTCACTGTCAGGAGTCTCACTGCCCACAAAGTGGGGGCGACTCATTTTCAATATTCAACGAGGGGCAGCTTGAGCCATGGCAAGTTGGGCACGGGAAGATGATTTAATTCCATGTGGTCATCACAGATGGGTGAGGTCTTGACCTTTGAGTTAGAAAAGAACAAGCCCGGTGGCTCAGTGGTTGAGCATTGACCTATGAACCCTGCGCCACAGTTCGATTCCTCATCAGGGCACATTTCCAGGTTGCGGCTCAGTCCCTGGTGTGGGACATGCCGGAGGCAGCTGATCAATGATCCTCTCTCATCACTGATGTTTCTCTCTCTCCTTCTCCCTTCCTCTCTGAAAAAAATATAAAAGAAAACAAAATTGAGAGTCCAGAGCTTTCCCCAGGTCACACGATAGCAAACGCTGGGTCCCCACCAGGTGCCCAGGTGCTTCTGTTCTGCTTAGGAGCCACAGAAGGAGCGGAACTCCTCCCTGGAGGGTATGTAGGTTCACGTATGAATTCCTCAGTGTTGGCACAATCAGTCCACCCTTCAGCCAGTGAGAGAGGGACAGTGAGAGACAGAACGACAGGTTGCCCGAGAGCTCGGGTCAGGGGTCAGGACAGTGCGAGGTCAGCTCGACAATGGCTTCTAATGCGAGGTTTCCTGCCCCTTCAGGCTGTCACTGGTGTTGGGCAATGGCTTCTTCATGACAGAACAGGTGAGAGCAGTCCAAGCTGCATTTCCAAGGTACTTATTTAGATCGGTCTTGATTGTTTCTACCTGAAAGGGAGCAGCCCAGGTTCAGAGTCCACAGCAAGTCCAGGCAGGTTCTCCCTCCCGCCAAAGGGGCTAGAGGTCACACTCATGCTCCCGCCCTCCTGCGGCCGGGCCTCTCAGAGATGCTGGCCTTGTCCCAACAACCCTTTCCCTGGGAAGCGGAAGGTGTGACCATTGTTAGTGCTGGGCTGTCCGGATGTGTCCTGACAACTGGCAGGATGGAGTGATGGGATCCTTCTGTGTGAGCCTCCAGGGTGGGGCAATTTGGTCCTGAAGGGGGTGCATAGAGGAGGAGGCATCCTGCCTGGCCCCCTGGGACCACAGCTCTTGGTGTGAAAGTGGGAATGGCTTTGTGGAGGGGGTTCTACCTGGGCTCCAGCTCTGCAGAGGGAGGTGGTGGCAGAGCTGAGGGAAGAGGATGGGAAACCATGGCCTCAGGAATCACTGTGCTCTGTGTATTGTTCCCAAGTGCAGCCTGGAAACTTCTATCCCTAGTCCCACCTCAGACCTGAACTCCAGACTCACAAGTCCAACTGCTACTCAACAGGTCCCCCTGGATGTCTAACACCCCACCTGAGCATCAGACCCTTAATTTCCCTCCCAATCCTGCTCCTCCTCCCCTCATTCTCCTCCATCCAGGCTGCCCATCACCCCATCACAGGGGCTGTGAGCCCTGGAGGTGCTGTGGTTCAGCAGAAAGAGCCGGGAGCACTGGGCATTGAATCCTGCTTCTGCCTCTTACTAGCTGTGCTTTGGTAAGAGGTGGAAGTGGGAGCGGTAAAGGTGTGTCCAGATCTTACGTTACATGTTCTTGAGCCCTTACATAGGACACAGACCTTGACCATCCCTTCCCTGAGGGCTCTCTGGGGCCTTAGGAGACCTGTCATGGTCCCGGGTTGGCCCAGACTTTCCTGACAGCACACAGGGCATCAGGAGCTGCCTTTAGGGTGGATCTTAGAGGTGAAGGATCCTAAAGGGACAGAGGTGGCCAGAACCCCAGAGGTCCTCCAACATCCCTCCTTCTGCACATGGGGAAACTGAGGCTAGAGAGTAAGTACCTTGTCCAAAGACCCTGAGTGGTTTAAAAGCAGATGTGAGATTTGTTCTCAGACGTCCTGACTCCCAGCCAACAAGACCCTGAGAGCTCCCTTTTGAATTATTCAGGGTAATTGTTGCCTCTGCCTTGTCACCCCCACCCCAAGCAGACCTCCAGAAGGGAGAGGGAGACCCCCAGAGAGGGCCTTACCTGCAGGCTGCGGGCCTTGCCGTATCTCAGATCCGTGACAAAGTGCTCACAGTTCCTGCTCAGAACACTGTACTCCATCTCCTTACCGACCATCTCCTCCGCAGAACTGATAATCTTGTTCACGGGCAGGGGTGAGTACTCCAGGTCCAAGTGGTTGTTGACCCGGTAGCCGCAGCCCCCCACCACGTCACGCAGGAGCTCCCTTTTCACCTTCCCTGTTGGGCTCAGCACGGAGAAGAGGCTGGAGGAGCCGGCCCCAGGGTACTCATCTGGAACCAGACACACGAGTATCAGGAACTCAGGGGAGGCCTGGGAGGGAGAGAGGATTCCAGGCAGGGAGGAAGGGCCAGGGGATCACACTATTGAGGTTGGGTTCTGTTTGGTCCTTCTTCACCAATGTGATTGGAGGATTCAGTGATTTTGCTCTTTTCCTTAAGGAGCTGTAAATACTTTTCATGTTAATCAATGTTGTGATGGTCAGCGGCTGCCACTGTGTTCCATTGTATGAATGGACATCATCTAGTTGACCAAGTCCCTAGTATGGGCTGGTCCATAGCTTATCCATTGTAAACAACGGTAGTAAATTGTATTTGTTTATCTTTGCAC